ACTGGACGAGGATCAAGATCAGGTGGGGAGGGAGGACAGGAGGCGGGAAGGAGAGGAGGCGGGAAGGGGAGGACGTGGGCGATGCGGGGCAATGTAAGAGGGAGGAATGAGGACGATAGGACGGAATGGGGGAGTACGGGAGCATTGATATATTCCTTTCATTTCTTTCAGCAATGCAGAAGCAAGTTGTTTCCTGCATGAAAGATCTAGGTCTGCGAGTACAGGAAGTGAGTACAGCTTGGATCTCCCTCGCTCCCTCCTTCCCTCGCTCCCACCCACCCACCCTCGCTCCCTTGCTCCCTCGCTCCCTTCCTCTTTCTGTCCCCCGCTCTGCTCTCGATGCTCTTGACCTGAGTTGCAGGAGCATGTCGATTCTTCTACCGGCTACTCAATTGACGCTCTCGTCGAGATTCCAAGGATGAACAAGGGAGGAGGAGCGGGGGGAGCAGGGGGAGAGATTTTCTGTGCTGTAGAGGTGGACGGCCCCTCCCACTTTCCTCGCAACGATTATGTGAGAGTAGCAGCGCTGTGCTCAGCTGAGCAGGGCTGACAGCGAGCAGGTGCCGCTGGGAGGAACTGCACTCAAGAGAAAGCAGCTGCGGAAGATTGGGTACGATGATACAGAGGAGGCGCAGGAGCAGGAGCAGGAGCAGGAGCAGGAGCAGGAGCAGGAGCAGGAGCAGGAGCAGGAGCAGGAGCAGGAGCAGGAGCAGGAGCAGGAGCAGGAGCAGGAGCAGGAGCAGGAGCAGGAGCAGGACGAGCATGGAGGGAGGAGATGAAAGAGGGGGGAGCGGCCCTTTGTTTATGCAAAGCAATCACACTGATCATGATAATTGCAGGTACAGAGTTGTTTCCATCCCTTACTGGTAAGATGATGTTTGATTGCACTCTGTGTTCGTATCTTCACTTCTATCTTACGTCGAATCCAACCTCCTCTTCCCTTATCGTCTTCCCTTCTCCTCATATCTCCTTGCATCTCAGTCCTTGTCTTGTCTCATACCTCCTTGCATGTCTGTTCTCATCTTCCTCTACAGGGAATGGGATGCTCTAGACGTCGATGGGGATGTGAAAGCTGAGCATCAGGCGCGCAAGGACTATCTGATGAAGGTGCTGCAAGAGCCAGTCGATCATGTGGAGCTAACTTCCTGGAACAGGTCCTTTCCTCCGCAGCTCAAGTACCAACCTATCTATTTGTGTGAGGAAAGGTACAACAGGATCTCAATGTCTCAGCATAAGACTGTGGGATAGGGGAGAGAAGAAGCCTTTTGTTTGTTTAAACCTCTTTTTTATTTTTTTTCGAAAGAATCAACGAAGGTAAAGTTTTATCAGCTTTGGGCTATGTATATGATACTCATAAACACTAAAAGCTACAAGGCTGCGACACTCGAAAAGCAAACCCATCCCTCCCAATGAAGAGCATCGCAGATGTTTTACACGGAGACAAAGATTAGAATCCAGGGCGGGGCTGCTGGAGGGGTCCCGCAGCACGTCTATTGTTCATGTAGTTCTGTGGGGCCTTCTCCATCTTGGGTGTGTGCGATTGCATCCTTTCTGCCATATGCAGATTTGCTTCCCGAGCTGGCTGGACTCTGGACACGTCCATGGAGACCGGAACAAGATCTGGTGTAGATTCACCAAGTTTCTCATTAGGTAGCACAGCCGGACCGTTGTCTTGCATTCGTCGGACTGTACGTTTCTGTGGGATACGCACGCCCTGCACGGATCTGTTACCTAGTGCAAACAAAGCAAAGACAAGACAATACCCCAGAGGCCTTGGTGGCAGCGACGGGCTTGGCTTTGTTGTCGAAGTTTACCAGGAATTCCTCCATCATCATTTTGTTTGGTGGGTCGAAAGGAGTCTGATCAGGTGCGATGTGTGCACTGTGGTTTCAGGGGAAGTGAACAATGCAGCGAGTGGGAAGAGCGCAGGGCGGTGAGCGGTCAGCAGAGGATAGCCGAGCTTCACGTCAGAGCTGTGGTGTGCAGAGACGCATCGAGAGCCTTTTAAAGGACGTGAGGCGGGGGAAGGGGACGGGGGGTGATATTGGGGGGTAGGGGTAAGGGGTACCGGGCGTCGTAAAGGCAAAAGGAGGGGTTATTTTGATGTAGATGGTATGGGTGAGCCTGATTGGGTGGGGTAACTGTTTCGAAGGTGGGGTAGTCAACATGGGATCATGGGGGGTGTCAGTCAGGGGGGGTTAGCTGTCAAAGGTACAGACCGGGAAGGAGGAAATGTGGCATACGATCAGGGGGTGGGGTGGAGAAGAGCTAGGTGGCAGGGGGTACTTTTCCCTGATTGTCTGGGTGATGGATACAGGCGTAAGGGGTGGGGTACTACATCAATGGGGGTGGGGGAGACAAGAGTGATGGATTGGATGGGGGTTGTAACACCAAAAGAGAATGGAACAGAGAAGTTTCCATGAAGGTGTCTCAAATCGGAAAGATGCTGAGAAATATTTGAAAATAAAATTCTCATTTTCATTTTAAAAGAGAACTGTTTTGAAATTTAGCAAGTGCCATGGCAATTTTGTACCTGTTTGTGGAAGCCAACGCCTGCGATGTCGGCGAGTGTACGGTATGTTTGGGGGGTTCTATGCCGATGAAACAAGCCGGTCGGAAAGTCTCTTCATGTGATAACTTATCCTTTTAGTACCCGGTACTTTGATACATTTGATAGGGTCCATGTAGGTATAACGCAATGTTCTCAAATATATCGGTGGGGGTATTCAAACATCAACACACCGGCCTCCTTTCTTCTCACAACCACTGTTGTTCCCTGGGAAACTTGTGGTAGGGTGGTAAATGGAAAATAGGGGGTAGGGGCAGGGTAGCAATACTCTGTTACGTCATGTCATCAACCTAATAATGGAATCTTTTATACAAAAGCGTCTTGAGAATAGAAAATAAGACTAAAATTGGAGTTAAAATATTTTAACCATTGTCTGAAAGGTATTTTTGATTCTGTGAGACCCAGGGGTAAAACTTCAAATATATATATTATACATAAAGTGCTACAAACAGTGTCGGTCTACATCTAAAAAGTGTACCAGATATCGGGGGCTGTCTGAGCTACAGTACTGATCTTGCAGGTACAACTGATAACATAAAATAGTTATCGTGTTTTAGTAATAGAACTCTTTTTTGAAGCGCAATCGAGCAACTCTTGAACTCTTGAACTCTTGAACTTCGGTAGTTCAGAAGTTTCCACGTTGGGTGCTGAAACTTTGTAAAGTTTCTTCCAGATGCACCCTACCCCATCTTCTTGATTCAGTCATAAACGAATCAGGATCCCAAGAGGGGTGGGGTCCTCACCCGAGGCCTAATGCAGGAAACTAGAAGAATGGGTGCGGGGGAGGGCAGAAGAAATGTGTCCAAGCCTTCTCCCTTCTCCCCACCAGCTCGTTTGATCCTCCCACCTTCTCTCCCTCTCTCCTCCCTGCTCTTTTGCGCATGCTTATTGTCTCAAGTGCATATGGCGTCGGCTTTCCACACGTCGTTCTTTCATGGAACTGCATCCCCACCGAGGCCTGGAGTCCTGCCTTTCTCTGCTATAACGAATACTGTCCATGCACGTCCAGTAGCCTCAAGGAGCAGAGTCCGTTCCTTGAGCCGAGCGCCTGTGACGTGCAAGGTGGCAAACGACCAAGACCTCTTGACGCTCCAGGATGTGGAGCAGGCAGCAGCAGCGTCGGGATTCTCCTTCACAGTCACTCAGCTCGGCCCGCTGTACCGAGTCATGATACGCAAGACGCCAAAGGATGGCGAGGAGGAAGGAAAGGGACAGGCCATCGGGTACACTGCAGGCACCATCGTGGGTAACCTGATGCGTCAAGACACGATGCGGTTGTCGACGGTGAACACGGGCAACCCGAACAGCATGACGGACAGAAAGAAGGTCTCCGTGAACGAGAGAGGATGGAGAAGCAACTCAGTGTACGGCCTGAGCTTGCTGCTCGGTGCTTACGCTGGGAGGTATGCATACGAGCAGGGGTGCCGACGGGCGGAGCTGCTGGCGATCAAAGACAACGAGAGACAGCACAAGATCCTCGAGCGACACTACCGACGACTCGGCTTCCGAGCCGTGAAGGACGTCACCGACGACATCACATGCGTGGGAGGTGAGTGGGAGCCGAGCTCGAGCGGCGGCATGCTGACTTTGCGGGAGCAGACCGCATGATATGGGGAGGGATCGGCACGTTGATGGAGGCAAGCGTGGAGGAGATGCTGAGAAAGCATGCGGACGAGATCCGTCGGATGGGAGAGGCTGGTGGATGATAGCTGACGTCCTACCAACCTCTTTTATATGCCGATCAACCCCCCCCCCCCCGCTTACAGTCATGCTCGTTCCCCGTGCCGCTGTGCACCCGCCCTCGCTCCTTCGTTCCCTGTGATGGTAGGACAGGTGAGCAGAGAGGAGATTGATGACTGAGAGCCTACCTGGAACATTTGCTAGCACGAGATGGTGCGGCTTGCTTCCTCCTCTCCTCCTCATCTGCTCTCCCATGAGGAGGAACATCCTCTCCATCTCCCCCACCATCCTGGAGGTGGCGAAAAGGCCCCGCCTGCCCCACGCTGCTCAGCATGGCCGCTAGAGGGTACAAAGAGTTACCCAGCAGCAGCTCCTCCCTCTCTCACGATCTTCTCCTTTAGCCTCCGCAGCTTCTCCCCGCTCGTCGCTAGCTTGATCGCGATCTCCCTGTAGTCCTCCAGCGTTCTTGCGATACCAGCCTCTCCTCCTACCGCCTGCGAAGCTGCCTGACTGTCAACTGTAGTAGCTGCGGCGGCGGCAGCAGCAACAGCGTGGGGGGGGGGGAGGAGAGGAGGAGGAGGAGGGAGGGGAGGGGAGGGAGGGAGGGG